TTCCTGGCTTTTTATCCCCTTTCTCCTGCTCTTCCCGCCTGCTACTTTGGGCATCCCTGAGTTGTCTCTCCTCACCTGTAACCCTGGGATTGTGTTTAAACTCTAGTAAATGTGGTTGTTATGGTAGTAATCCTTGTCCAAAAGAGGCTGATAGACTTACGGAAGCAGTGTAAGCCAAGGTAAGCTTCATTCCGGTTTGACTTGCTGCTGACAATTAATCTTTTCATCCCAGGTATACTGAATCAGTATTACCTGATTAACAACAAGATGCCCAGATGATTGTTATATGTAAGAATCACTCTTAAGTATGCTTAAGAATCACTAGGAATCTTGTTAAGATGTAGATTCTGATTCATGTATTTGGGGTGGAAAGGCAAATTCTTAGCAGGGGCATGAACTGCTTCATTTGTAATTATTCTAGAAACTGTGCTCTCTCCTATCAGACATTTAGTTTTTCAAAGTTACCCTTAGTTTTTTGGTTTTAAGAAGACTTTGAAACCTGTTTTAAGAATAGAAAATATTTTTTTCAGTATTTTTTCAAGAGCTGTGTCTATTGATGCAAAGTTATACCTTCTTGAGCCTTATTTCCCTGAGGTCCCATTCTTCTATGGTGAAAACAGCAGCTCCTTTCTCAAAATCTACTGCCATGTTGTATGTCCAAGATTAGTAATTCAGATTCATTCATTAGGTTGACACCTAGTTATGTAAGCTTCAGTAAGTGCATTCGTTGTTGCCATTCTTGTCATGAATTCACTAAGCTTTTACTTGGATGGAATTCCAGTTTCTCAGTCTGGAAAATCAACTTGGGTAGATTACTGAGCTCTCTTCCTACCCTTTACAAATGTATTCAGGACTGCTGCATAGCAGCTGCAACACTCAGTATGTACTTGATGATTTATTCAACAAACCTATCTTAATGACCTCTATGCTAAAAATCGGGGATACAAAGATTGGGTTTCTCAGTCTAACTATGCCATGGGAAGTCTACACAGGTGTTCCTGTGAATCTAGAGGAGAATAGGATTAAATCTGAGTAAGAGGGAAGGAAGGAGCATTGAGTACAGTAAAGAAGGAAGATCCTGAAGTTTACTCATTGTGTGAGTGTTGAAATACAAATAGGAGTTACCCAGGCAGAGAAGAGGCCATGGACATTAAGCAAAGGTAGCATGAGCAGTGGATTTGTATTTAAAGGGAATTAAGGTTGGGCAGTCCTACTTTCGTAGTGATACTGCCTCGGAAACCCAAGGAGGGGTCGCTATGAGTCGGGTTTGACTCGACGGCACATAACAACAACAACAACCACAAATCTATATGGAGGAGAAAATATTTCCATCTGACAGGAGGATGGGGGGAGCACAGGTGGGTATACTGGGCGAGATCTTGAAGGGCTTTAAATGCCCTGGTAATGAGGTGGTGACTCATCCTCTAGCAGATGGGGACCATGAAACGTTTTAAAGCACTGGAGTGACATGGCAAGCATTATGTTTACTTTTTATAGGTTTTTTTTTTTTTTTTTT